TTAATGCAATGACTGCAGTGGATGGAAAAGCAGGTGAGTGATGTGCTGTTGTATCAAGATCCCTACACATACAATGAGATTTTAAAGGCAGAAAAAAAAAGCAGATGGGGCAGCAAGATGTGGCTGGCTCTTGGAACTACGCCTGCAATACAGAGCAGTCACAACTCCTACGAATAAAAGCTATAAACTCATCTACCCAATAAAGTGTATGAGCTGCTAGGCACTAAGACAAGACTGGGTTTAGAGTCTCCTTCTAAACGGTGCCTTGGAAGCTTACACCAATTTATGTAGCACCTCTCCTTTAGCAGGAGAAAATAAAGTGGGTCAAAGGCAGCTTTTCAGAAGGAAAATCAGTCTAAAATTACAACACTTGGGGAAACCTAGGCAATGAGAGAGAACAAGAAGCATTACTGCACTGATCCACCCCTGCATTTTCTTATGGACCACAAAGAATTCATACACCATCTTTGCTCAAGCCTTCAAAGGACTGTTACCCTTCATTTCTGCACAACTCCCCAACAGTCACTGGGCACTACAAAAAGTTGTAGTAAAACCCCAACCCCAGATTTGGTCTTTAGCTTAGCTTAGTAAATATAAGGAAGGAAGAGTCACCGCTGTTGAGGTGAGAAGAAATGTATTCTGGAAAGCCAGTCTGCCTCTTTGGTATCCAAAGAGATTGAGGAGAGTTTTATAACAAAATAAATCCCCTACTCTGCCCAGAATGTGCACATTCTGCCATGTCTCTATGGAAAGATTTCACAGCATTAAACATCCATAAGCTTTCACTTTTTTATTTCTTTTTCAGTGGAGATATGTCAGAGCCCAAACATGATGCCATTTGATTTCCTGTGTTTGGAGTGTTTGAATATCACCCAAGCCATTTTGGGGACCTGATGATCTGCAATCAAAACTTTGTTTTGAGACTTACTGTATTTTCTAAAGGAGACCTTGAGGTACAACAATTGATCCATTTGCAGTACTGGACTATTATTCTGTGCTGTAAATTCCACCCTACAAACACAAAGCCTGTTTTTTTAGCAGATGTTGGATGCTGGATGTGATGGTATGCATCCATTTGTACCACATCATGTAAAACAGTCCAAGACTATGCCATCCACAAAGGAGAGAAGAGCAACAAATAGCATCACCACTACAAGAATATGAAATCATGTTTAAAATGCCTGCTGTTTTTTTCCAATTGCACCTCCCACCCTCTCAGACCCCTAAAAGTTGACAGGACATTCAAAGACACTGTGCAGCTCATCACAAGATTGATGGTTGCACCTTTTGGTTGTCTAGCATGCTCACTTGATAACATGTGCTAAAATGCACATGGATACCTTCACCTGTCCCAAACTCAACTCACTAGTCAGCCTAAAATCTCATTTTGGAGTTCTAATCCACTTCTCTAATGACTTGGGTTTTTTTCCTAACTTTCTCCCAGAGTGCAGCAGCTTCCTGCAGGAAACCATTCACCATTGCTTACTAACTCCAAATTTTACTTCTCCTATATTGTGCTTCTGCTCTTCCCCAAAAAGCATTGCTTTATCACCCAGTTTCTCCTTGAAAGTTCCTGTGCTCCCCCTTTCATCTAGCCAAGTCTCAAGCTACTAAGAGGGTGACTGCAGGTGTTATGCATGGAGACCATTTCTGTACGTGCAGGCAATTCAAGAGCATTTTTTGTTTGCAACTCCCCACAACTATGAGTGTAAAAGAGGCCAAGGGAATCAGCAGGTTACTGTTTTCCTCCGCACTTGCAAATGTGAATTTTTCCCGCTATGAGATTTTGTGAGTGCCAAACGCTTTGCCAAAGATTTTCATATGATCTGGCTGGAGAGCAAGAAGCGTCAGACGTCTCGTTGCAAACTAGGTTTCCAGCCCAGTTTTGTCCTCAGTAGTGATCCAAATGACTTTTAGAGAAATCTGACTTTGCAGTGATCCGCTGCTGCACCTCATGATAGTACCTATGAGAGACCTGCAGTCTAAAATATCCTGAAGTGAATCCTATTTGGTTTCATATCTGTCTGCTCTGTCTTGTCATCCCTTACTTGAACTGCTTTTCACCCTCTGCTATGCAACATGTTGTTCCTTTTTCCTCCTGTACTTGAATAACAGAAATCTAGATAGAAAGGAAAGCAATTATTTTGCAAGTAAAACTAGAACCACCCAGGCTAAATCAGGCAGTTTTCTGGCATCTTCTTAAAAAAGCAGGGCTCAAAGTACAACAGAGAAAAAAACCAGCCACCTCATTATGAAAGAGTGATCAGCTGAATAAGAAATACAAGAAAAAAATGGAGAGAAGAGCAAAGTGAAAAGGGTTCAGGTTAAACAGTTCTTGACAAGACCCTGAATGAGCATAAACCAGCCAGAATGGTTCTGCAAGCAAAAGAGGGGCTAAAGGCACCTTCCCTAAAGGCCCTAAAGGCTCTGCAGGCATCTGGTTCAAATTACTTACCAAGAAAGACAGAGAGAGTGAAGGGGGGAAGGGGTTGGGGATGGGCAGTATGCAAGAATAGAAATGAAGAGGCAAGCAAGCGACCTCAGCCAACAGAGGAAAGGAGAACATGACAGCCCAAATGGCAGTTGTTTTCTCAGCACAGGACACCCAGCGAGTGGGCTGCCTCGTGGCAGCACACCGAGAAGAGCTGCGTGGAGAAGGCAAATTTTCCCCTCCAGCTTCCCTTACAGAGCTGTGGACAAATTGTGCCAGAACTCTGCTTGCTTTTTTTTTTTTTTTTTTTTTTTTAATGCCTGGTACTTATTTTTAAATATTAATTATCATTCATGGCAGCAAAACCATGCAGCTTCTCCCTTTGGGAGCGCATCAGTCAGTCCCAGGGCAGGTGTTGGCTCCCAGTCCACACTGAACAAGATGGAAATAACCACACCAGTCTCTTGCAGAGCTGATGGAAGGATTGATTTTGTTGGAGTAAAGTCAAAGTGTGAGGTTTGTGACATTAGACAGAATGGGCAAGAAACTTGCCTGGTAAGGCCATCATGGTTCTAAGTACCAAGGTTCATTCCAGGATGTTGTTCAGACATTTGTGTACAACAGTCTGAGATTGATTGATTCCTGTCCTTTGTTTTTCACAGTTTCTAAAACCATCCTCTCAGCCTTTGAAAAGTGTAGGGAGAGATGGAAAGTTCAGCCAAACCAAATGATCCATAGTTTTGGGCCTTAGAGCAAATAAGCTTGTTTGTTGAGTTGTTTGGTGTGGTTTTTTAGAAAACAGGATAGTGCAAAACAAGACTGTTATTAAACCTACCGTGAACGGTATGTTTATGACATCACACAAAAAAGGATATTAACTCGTTTTCCCTGAATCACAAAGAAAACAGCACTGGTCTATGCACTGAAAAGTTAAACTAGCCCAGAATATTCCAGTCTTGAAATCAAGCAAAAATAATGAGGTAGTTAGATTTTTCAAATTCAGCCCTTTCAGCGAGCAACACAGATGAGATGTGCTAGTCGCACAGGTGAGAGTATTTTCTGCAGTAAGCTTATCATCTTGATCACACCTGATACAAATCCATTTTCCAAACTTGTTATCTCCACTGACTGCTGGGTCAGACTCACAGCGTCTTATTCAACAAAATACCAAACACTATTTGTTATTCTGGGACAGAATAACAGCATAAACATTTTCATGCAGGCAGCCCAGGCTCCAGTCCCAGTCACTGATCTCTCGCTCAGCACTGGCCAGACCTAGGAGAGACACAAGTACTGTATCATGAGTACCACAAGGGAAATAAAAATGGTGCACTGGGAAGGCAGAAGTGAGCAAAGGTCTGGGCTCCCTTGTTGGTGGTCATTGTACAGCACTAGGAAACACCAGGTCATACATTTAAACCCAATTTTCCTAATCCTTATGGCTATTTCCCAAATGAAGTGATTTAATCAAAAAGGGATGCTGATGATGAAGGGTTGCCCAAAAGAGGGAGGGCTCAGAGGGAGGGTAAGACAGGCGGAGAACCAAACCAAACATGGCATCTCCTTGGGATGTGCCATGGTCTTCAATGTGTGTTTCAGAGAGAACAGTCTTTCCCTTGATGCTACAGAGCTTGTCAAATTGCCTGGAAGGCTCAGAAAAAAAAAGAGTCATCTTTCACACAATTTGACAAGGCAAAAGAAATATTCATTTTCTGAACCATATCCCCCTAAGCTTCTAAAAGGAATTAAATTTCTGATCCCACCTATTGAACTCTGTGCAGAAGGGAGAGGAGAAGGAAGTGTACAAGGTCAAAGCCAACATCTTGACTCTCCAAGGAAGGCTTGAGAGCACCCAAATAATGTGTCAGGAGTTGATGACAGCAGAAAAGGCATCTTCTTGTCTCTTTGGTTTTTTAACACATACTGAGTCAAAAAAATTAACTGCTCAAATCCTTCTTTTTTGTGAAAGGCTGGATTGTCTCTGGAGGTGGCTGGGTACAGCAAAACCTGCTTCAGCAGAAAAAACAGAGACAAGTGAAATGGCTCCTTGTCTCCTTAAAAAAAATAACCAGAGCTCATCACAGACTAATTAGTGAAGTAATTTTATATCCAAAACTGCTGAAGAGTCAAAATGCAGAGCACTGCTTTTGGAAAGCAGAGGGCTGACACCTCCCTGTGCTACATGCAGACCAGTAAGCTCTTCCAAATGCAGGTCACCTGTAGCTGGTGTGAACTGTTAGGCCCCACCAAATCATCTATTTGCAACCTGCAGAATATTTAACTGGTTTTCCAAAGATCAAATGCTTAAGGAGAAAGGCTACAACAGACACACAGTGAAGGGCCACTCCATATCCCAAGAGCATAAAAAGCAGAGCCAGTATCTATTCCAGTCTCTCTCTACGCCACTCTCGTTCCTTTTGAAACCTTTGCTCCCCATTTTATGGACAGAAAACAGACACAATGGAAATAAGCATTAATAACACACAGAGTAACCAGTTCAGTTCATTGATTGTTCTGAGCAGTGTCAGCAGTGATTCATTGTAGTGACAAAAAGAAAGTCGTCACTTACCCTCACAAAGCTAGCGGGAAACCATCCTTCTTCATCATCGATCTGACCCCACCACCAGTCCTTGTTGGAAGCATCCAGGACCTTGATAACGTCTCCTGCTTTAAACGCCAACTCCCGGTTGGCCATGGTGACGTGATCCCATACTGCCTCAGCACTTACAATAGAACCACCACTGATCAGCTTTGAAAACAGAAAAACAGCAGTCAATAAAAGCTCCGTTTCCTGATGCAAGCACATGCACAGCAGCAACACAGAAAAAAGCACTCAGCCAAAGTAAACCAAACTTCCCCCATTCCAATCCATAACAATTTCCCCCTCACATGATGTAATCCAGTCTGTGAATGTTTCTACAGACTGCCGTTCTGCTCCCAACCATGCCACGCAAGCAAACACCACATGCGGATGTTCAGTGTCTCACAGGTCCTGGCCCTACACGTGGGAAAAGCAACACCTCCCCTTTCACCACCACACCGTATTTATGAGCATGCACATCTCATCAAGGTACATGGCTTTCAGGTACAATTCATTAGCATAATGTACAGCTGGGAGTTCCCAAAAATGGCAAAACCAAGTGATGGTGTCCTGCAAAGGAATTTTTGTATCAGAATGTGTTTGCTCAGTTTAAGGATCAAACGTCAGCTCGAGGCTCAGAAGGCTTTCCATGCAAATCCAAGCAACATTTGCAAACATATTTAGAAGAACGCTTTTTTTAAAACTGTAAGTCCCATATTTGTTTAGTGTTGGTGATGTACTGATATCCCTTGCTTTTGAAATCTTCAAGCAACACAGCAGAGAAGTAGGGCATCATGGCACCCTGCTGACCTGTTTCAGACCTGATCCAGAGCACAGCCCAGCTCCACAGCACATTAAAACCCTGCTCTGCCCACAAGAAACCTAACAGCACTGGTTGTTGTGACAGTCTTCAAGGTTCAGATACCTGCCCACTAGAAACTGGACTGAGGCCAGACTTGTGTCTGACAGATCTACTGAACACCTCTCCACACGGAGCATACAGTCACCTTAGAGTTGGGCCAGCCATGGCAAGGACCTAACCAGTTCTCATTTTCACTGTGAGCCACCTAGTTTTGTATATATAAAACTCCTGTTTAATGCCTGCAGGAAGGCCTCATCCATACACTGATGCTTGTGCACCCACAAGACAAATCCATCCATGCCTGGGACACCCACTGCTCCTCAGAATGGTAGTAATGTATTTTTTAACAGAATAATAAATTGTGTTTATGTTTTGTCCACTGCAGGAATTCTGCACTGAACAGTTAAGACTGCCCTAGCAAACAGAGACTTTACCCATATGCTTATTAGCTCGTCAGAGCCACCCTGAACCTTGTTCATTAATTCTGCTGTCTGAGACACACTGAATATGTACTTGGGCTCGCCTCCAAATCAGAATTTCAGCTCACAAAGTAAAAGCTCAGCGCTGCAACCATTCCACATGGCAAGACTTTAGCAGCCACAGATAACCTTCCAATTTAAGCAAGCAATACAAAGCATAAAGACAATAACCAGTCACAGCAGTTATGAAAGTGTAGAAGCACTGGGAATGGTTAAAGAGCTCTTAACAGCTCTTTTATAAGTCTGACTTACCAAAATGCCTGTTAATAACTACCTGTGTAGTCAGAACTTGCAGGAGACCTTCTAGCACTGCTGCAGGGTTCCCAGCATAAACATATAAGAGCATTCAAGTCGCTACAGGCAATTCAGTCAACAGATTAAAGGACCTGATTTACCCTTTTCCTTGAACTGATTTTCCTTTAACAAATCAAGCTCCTCACGTTTGTGACAATTACAGCTGCAGTTTCAGCTCTTCAGTTATTAGAGTCTGTTGTACATAAAACAGCAAGATCTAAGAGAGCCTAACTTGAGACTTAGTGCCTTTCATCCTCAAAGCCAAGATGCATCAAGTCAGAGGACCTCTCTTGTTCCTGCAGTAGGTGAGGTAAAACAATGTCCTTCCCACTTGCGTTTGACAAATTGTCCTTTCTAATTCAAAATCAGTTGTAAAAGAAACATGGCTTTTTCGTATATCATATAGGGGACTTTTACACAGATGTCTCACAAGATCACCTGGTAGCTGACAGGAAGCAAAGGCATGGGTTAATAGCAAGCTCTCATAAAAGAGTCCAGCAATGAACCTATTCAGTGTGCTGAACCTGTGGCAGAGGGCATCTAGTGTATAAGCGTGAGCCCTGTCTGGGCTTTTGATATAGAGCTGAAAGGAGCTGGGCACCAGAGGACCAAACCAGTGGCAGCTGAAGTCAGATGGGGTAAGACCATCAGTTCACCCCAGCTCTGAGCCCTCACTTCGCAAAGTAGGGTAGCTACATCTGGAAAGATAACAGTTATAAAGATTGATTTCTGATTCCAGTGCAACAACTGAATGCTCAACCCAGGTAGTGATATTTTAGTGCTTCCTCACAACACTCTGCATCGCTCTAAATCAAAGTTTCTAGATGCTTTCATAAATATGAGTAAGTTTAAAGCACAAAGAACCCCAAGACAGATCTGGAAAGAATGAAGACTTCACAGCTGAAGAAAACCCCCTCAATATATTCATGACCAGTATGTCATATATAAAACCCCCTCAATCCTGTTCTGCCAGGACAGATCTTCTCCTTCACTAGTGTTTCCCCTTTGCCATATTTATGGACACTGTCGAGCCTGCGGTTCCCCAGGTTAACCAAGCTTGGCTCTTTCAGCCTTGTCTCAGCAGACAGCTCTTTCTTCACCTGAGCATTTTACCAGCCCTTTTAAGCATCTAGATACTTTGCCTGCATCTTTCTTGAACATAGATGACCAGAACTGTAAATACTATTCCCAAAGAGACCTTACCAGGGATCTGTGAAACAGCATGAAATATTTATTACAGTGTCACAGAAATCTTGTAGTAATACATAACATCTCCCGCTTTCTCCCATGGCTACCTCCTGCCAGTGGCTCACTGTGATCTTGCATTTAGCTTATCTAAGTAAGTGAGGTAGAAGACATTCTCTTTGTCTAGAAAACCAGTTTTCTTGTAAAAAATAAATCAGGTTGGCCTGACACTCATTTCTTTTGTTAATGCCATTGGGTATTTTCGTCCATTTTTCACTGATGATGAACCAGAAACTGAACTATTACACAGAAGCCATGTTTCTGCTTTTTCTGCTTCATCCGACATAGATTTTGCTGTCACTTCACACACAGGCAGTTCTGGGCACAAACTGCCACAGAAACATCACTGAAACCAAACTTCAGAGGGATTGTGTTTTAGAGCCTCCTAGTCTACTTTGCAAAAGTGCATTTCTGAGCCTGAGGCACAAAATCCCAGCTCTAAGGAGCATGGCTTGGCCAGCAGCAAGGGCTGGAAGGGACTTGCAGAGGGCCAGAAAAGCAGATCTCTGTTAACACAGACATCTGTAAGATGCTTTCAGTGGAAGTCGGGAGCTGAGATGGCTTTTCAATGTGTTTCTTGATACTCAAGAATAAAGGCTGTAAATTCCTGGTTTTCAGTGGCTAGTGCTAGCAGATAGAATAAAGGCCCCTTTAACTGACCCTTTTCAGTCCCTGGTCCATATTGTTAGCCCAAGAAATGGATCCCCATGCCAGGAAGCCTGCAGGCAAGCCTTGGCCTTCCAAAATACAAGTACAGTTCAGCCTGTGAAAAAAAGGACAGCAGCAGGATAGCAGAATTCGAGTTCCACCCATCACATGTGATGGGTCCATTGAGAGAACATCAGAGCCTAAAATTCAAAGACCCAGTTTAATTTATTTTGCAAGACATCTTGTTGCATCTGTGGAGCCGTCTGACTCTTTCAGAGCAGGGTTACAGAGACAGAACCTGACATCTGCAGCAGCAAGAGATGATTAACTAGAGAAAGGTCAGGATAAAATATTATTTTCTGAGAGAATTCAACACAGTAGCTCTTCACTGCAGAAAGTTCACGTCTCTTGGTTTCAAATATGGGTCTTAGCACTGTAGTCAGACATACTCAGCCAAAGACCTTGAAAGGGATTTATCTCCCAAAATTTTAGATGTCTACCACACAGCAACTGAGACAGTCATCTGGACTCCTTTATAATCAGTAAAGAGAAAAAGACACATCTGGAGTGTGATTCATCTTGGCTATTTCAGTTGTCTACTTTCAAGCGAGGTGAATCATGCCCTAGAAATTACTATTTCTCTGTGTTTAATTGGGTGATGCAGAAGTTTACATTTCCAACATCTTACATTCATCCCATCTACAATTTGGCCATCATTAAAAAGGGATAACAAAGAACTGTATGTAACAATAATAATTACAATAGGAACAGTCAAATATTAAATCACACTCTCCCAGACACAGCAGTTCCTCAGTATACGAAGGTTGTGGTAAATAAAATTATGTTCTTCATGCCCACTGAAAGAATTCACAAAATCTGAGCCTTGAAAATTTACAATAATGAGTACTTAGATATTTGGGAAAAATGTCCTACTCATAAGAAGAGGAAGGCAGATAGAAGAAATGCAATTGGAGATAATGTACATTTGGTTTTGACGTACCCTGAATACTGCTTGTCTTCCAGGTGAAAGACCTAGTTTCCATTAAAATCAATTATTCTTGTCAGTTGTTTGTTCAAATTAAAGAGCCCAAAGAGAAGAGTTCCTGGATGCTTTCACCACGTAACATCAGTGCAGGAGAAATGCCCAAGAGCATTTCTTAACAACAGACCTGAGAATAATTTTTACTGTTTTATGGAAGACTTCAGAGCACTGCCAAGCACTTTCTGTATGGGCTGAAGAAAAAACTTTCTCAGCGTGTGGAAGACCAGATTAACTACTGGGATGTTGCACACAGTCTAGGGACCAGAGTCACTGTTCAAAATGGATCCTTCCTCACCTCCTCGCAAACACCTGGTCATGGCCAAAGATAAGTACCAGGACAGAGCTGATGAGGGGCCACTTTTATGCTCCAGCACCACAAATAAACTGACACAATGAGGAAAAGAAAAAGGGAAAAAGGACAATGCTCTCTCTAATTATATGCACAGCTGACACATTTCTGGAACACACACTAAGAACATGGGGTATTATCACTGTATTGCCAGGATCACACATGGCAGCCTTTCCAGGGATTTTCACTACAGGTTTCCAAAGTGCTCTGTAAAACTCCAATAATTCAGTCACAAACCCTCACTGTGAA